GATCCAAAAATATAGGTTCTTAAAGTCAAAAGCAAATCCACTTACCTAGGTTTCAATTACATTAAATACATTAAAACCTCACACATGCTGACTTTGCGGAGTCAGAACTGGAGGTCTTGGGGGGAAAAGGACGTTGTGAAGCTTACTTTAACTCTTCACGGGAAAAGAGAGCTGCTAGAAAATACTACAGCATAAGCATTGATTATGGAGCAAAACCTTTCGGGGGATGTCTTATTTTCAAGTGTGCACGATTGCTGAGGAAGCCCCCTTCACACAAAACAGTCAGGACCCAGGATTCTTATCTGTTCACTAGGAAGTTCAACATGAGCAGCTTGATAGCCGGTTTCAATGTGTGAAAGTTGTAAGCACGGAGGATAGCTCCTGTAAAACTTAAAATGCACCCAGTAAGTTGGCTCTTTCCCATTTCCTTTGAGTTAGAGTAATATATGAAAATATCGTCACTTAACCGTTCCCTTAAAATATTCTCCGTGTGGGAATTCACTGAGAAGGGGGACCAGAGACCTGCCCCATCTGCCACTAACATGGTCACGGACAGTGTAAACAATGAGCCCCGAGTTTAGGGACTCTAAACCTTGTCACCCACCGCCCCCCTACGGGGGAGGGAACCTGAGAGGGGGCAGGGAAGTGTGTGAACACCTTTTCCTCCTTCAGGGTTCGATAAGCAAGGGCGGTTCCGGAGGGCAGGGACAGAGGCAGGTTTGCTGAAAAGGGATGTTTAGGAGGGCAGACACTCATTCCAAGGCGTGTCTTGTACATTCAGGTTAAAGGTAGTAAGGCATTATGGGGCAGTCAAAAGGAAAAGGAATGAGGTACTGATACCCACTAAAACAGGGGTGAACCTTGACAACATGGTGCTTAGTGAAAAAAGTCACAAAAAAAACATTTACTGTGTGAGTCCTTTTATGGAAAATGTCTGGGAACAGGCAAATCTCATCCTGAGCTATTTTTCCAGCCTCCTCTTCTCCTTCCCCCAAACCAAGCAGCATTTGCTCGGTCCTCAACACATGGCCCCTGTTCCTGAAGAATCCACGTGCTTCCAGATCCCTAGCCCTTTGCACATGCCGGTCTCTCCACAGAGAAGGCGCTCATTCTTCATCCTCTTCAGATGCAGATCTACTCCTGTAGGCCCAGCTTGACTGGCAACACCCAACGGTCCTGATGCTCACCAGTGGGCACCTCACCACCACGGAAATATGAACCGCGATTTGGAATAGCCTAGAGTATCAGAGCTGGAACCAAACCTGGAGGTTACCATGTCTGACATCAGTCCCTTTACGGAATAGAAGAGGAAACTGAGGCGTCAAGAGGATGAACGGCTGGTCTGAGTCCTGAAGCTCACGAGAGATAGTACCATGTTATCATTGCTCCTGGTACAGCATCCTTTGCCTTACACTTCAGCCCTCTTGCAATTTTTTGACTAAGCAAATATTTACCAATGACTTTTATGTACCTGTGATTGTATCAACTCATACTTCATGTAACAGAATCTGTCGGCCTCTTTATGGTCAACAGAGGTTCACCATTCCAGCTTCACTCTTTGCTGCCTCAACCGAATTCAACCATGCAGCCAGTTTGAATGGGAGACCACAGTATCATGTCGTTGACAAGTGCAAGAACTTTAGAGTCAGAGACCTGGGTTGGTTTTTTTGTTTTTTTGTTTTTTTAAGATTTTATTTATCTGAGAGAGAATGAGTGAGAGAGAGCATGAGAGAGGAGAAGGTCAGAGGGAGAAGCAGACTCCCCAAGGAACTGGGAGCCCAATGCGGGACTCGATCCTGGAAGTCCGGGATCATGACCTGAGCCCAAGGCAGTTGCTCAACCAACTGAGCCACCCAGGCGCCCTGAGACCTGGGTTTTGACCAGGTCCCTGCCACTTACTTAGCTGTATGACCTTGGGAAGTTTAATTCATCTTTCAGAGCCTCAGTTTTGTCATGTGTGAAATGGGGATGACAGTATCTGTCCTCCAAGATCATTGTCAGAATTACCTGACGGTTGAAAAGCATTTATGCTGGGGAGCAGGGAACGGAATGAGGGAGCAAGTGAGGAGGGGAGGGGCTGAGGAAGGGAGAGAGGGAATAGGAGAGTCAGAGAGGGGATGATGGAGGGCTATAGAGAGGATGAGAGAGAGAGAGAAGGGAGTTAGCAAGCAAGGGCAGAAGTGGAAAAACATTTTATTAAAAATAAATTCATTTCTTAATTAAAAATAAATAAAAGCACTTATGTTTCATCATTGGTAAAGTTTATCATTTTAGATGATGGTGATGACAACTTCCCTCAGGAAACATCCCTGCCCTCCCAACACCCTGGAAGGCGCTCCTTATCCACAAGCTCCTAGACTTACCTCAACACAGTGGCGATTCCTGGTCATTCTTTGTCTCTGCCCTTGAGCTGGCAGCTCCGTGAGAGCAGGATCCTTTTGTCTTGTTCAGCCCGGCTTCTCCAGCACAAAATATATCGTTAGCACCCAGGAAATGTTTGTTGGTTGAAAGGAAAAGGAAGGAGAGGTAAAGCAAGTGGCAAGAGGCTGTGAGGGACACAAACATCCCAGGTGGAAAGTCCTCACTCTCCTGTAAGGATCGGGGACGACACATTTATTGGGGGAGGGGCGCTCAATTTTTTTTTTTAATTTTTATGTTTTCGTTTTCGTGAGATACATCATACACAGTATTGCAAAAGCAGTGCATACGGTCTGAAGAATTATGAAACGAACACCGTGTAATCACATGGGTCCAGAAGCTCCCCCTGGTCGCCCCAGGTCACCTCTTCCTTCTTCTCTCCAAGAAGTGGTCACTTTCCTGATGTTTATGATAACCATCCTCCAGCTTCTCTCTCTGATTTACCACTCACGGACAGATCTCTAACCGACCCAGTTTCGCATTGTGTGTTCTTGAATTTGATGTAACCAGAATCGTACTGTATGCATATTCTGAGACTTGCTTCTTTCTCTCGCTGCAACTTGGGGAGATGAACCCCTGCTGCTGACTGTAGCCGTCGTGTTTCTTCCATCACTGTCCTGTTCCATCATGTGACTCTGCCCCATTTGTCCATCTACTGCTGATGGACTTCTGCAGTCCTTCCAGTTTGGGGCTATTGCAAATAACCGTCTATAAACATTGTTGTTATCTATTTTCTGGGATATTTAAATGTGGTGGGGTTTTTTTGGTGGGAGGGGGGGGGGGGGGGGGGGGTGAGTTGAGAATTTATTTTACCTTCAGGATCTGTGAAGTCCCCAGTGTTGTGAAATCGAAAGTACTTTGCACAAAGAAGGTAGACAGGAGTGGAAGAAATCAGGGTTTTTCCGAGTGTGGTCTGAGATGACCCACGGCAAAATCATGTGGAGAATGTGGTAAATATGCAGATTAGAAGGCCCAGCCCAACCCTAGCAAATGAGAACATGTGGAGATGAAGCCTGAAATAGTAGCATCCTAGCAGGCTCGCTGCCCAGCCCCCCAGTCGGAGGTGGGGTCACCAGGCCTCCTCTTCGAGTGGCTGACCCAGGTGTGGCAGGACACCCCTCAGTAGCTGGGACAGTGTTGGGAAATTCTGAGTGAGGAAGGGGTAGTAGTGTCTTCATGCCCAGGAAACCAGCTCCCTCCCAGTCTCCTCTGCCGTGGGCCCCTCGCTGGGGTGTGCCAACAACCGGCTGAGGTCCCAGCTTTCGCTTTCTTCTCTGCAGTCCCGCCCCATGCTCCAATCCCGTCCTGCACCAAATGCTCTGCAACACTCAGAAGTCTTAACTCATGTTTCCACAAGCCTCAACAATACTGTACCTCAATAAGGCACCTTGTTTTTGTTTTAAATAGATTGAGTCTTAAATCACAGCCAAACTGAACGTAAAGTACAGAATTCTCATACACCCTTGTCCCCAGACACAACACAACCTCCCCCACAATCAACATCCTACACTAGCACCCCATGTCACTATCAATGAACATACACCAACACATCATTCTCACCGAAAGTCTGGGTTATGTCAGGGTCCACTCTTAGTGTTCACGCTCAATGGATTTTGACAAATATATGATGATATGTATACACCATTAAGTTGCACTATCATAGAAATCCTCCTTATTCCACCCATTCTTTCCTCTCTCCCCACAACTCAGTCTGCTACTGTCTCCACATTTTTGCCTTTTTCATAATGTCATATGGTATGTGGCCTTCTTAGAGAGGCTTCTTGGAGTTGGAAATACAAGTCCCCCCCAAGTCTTTTTATGGCTTGGTGACTCATCTGAGTGCTACACATCCCACTGTCTGGATACCACTGTTCATCCACTCCCCCAGTGAAAGCTTAGCTTCTAAGTTTTGGCAATTATGAATAAAGCTCCTATAAACATCCATGTGCAAGTTTTTGTGTGGACATGAATTTTCAGATCCTTTGGGTAAATACCAAGATGCACAATTCCTGGGTTCTATGGTTAAGAATGTTTAATTTTATAAGAAATTGCCGAAGTGACTTCCACAGGGGCTGTACCATTTTGCATTCCCATCAGCAAAAGAATGAGCATTCTTGTCGCACCACACTTTCACCAGCCTCTGGTGGGTTTTGGATTTTGGCCATTCTAATAGGTGTGTAGTGGTACCTCCCTGATGTTTTAATTTGGACAAACCTAGTTTTTAAACAACTCCTCACTTTTCCTCTGTGGTTCTGGGCTCTATTTTAAAACTGCACAGCAAGTTATGAGCAGGTAATTATTATTAGAAATGGTCTTATCTACAAATATTTCTTAAGACTAACTTTCTAGAGGCACCTGGATGGCTCAGTCAAACGTCCAAGTCTTGATTTCGGCTCAGGTCATGATCTCAGGGTCCTGAGACCCAGCCCTGCGTCAGGATCCTTGCTCAGCAGGGAGTCGGTTTCAGATTCTCTCCCTCTCACTTCCCTCTCCCTACACTCTTGTGCTTTCTAATTAAGATCTTTAAAAAAAAAAAAAAAAGGAAGACTAACTTTCTCTTTTTCTTTTCCTTTTAAATATAGGTAAATGCAGAGGGGACGCCAGAGGAAGTTTTTCTTCAACTCTGCACAGCTATTGACTCTATTTTCTGAAGGCAAAAAAGCATGTACATTAAGGAGAGTGGAAACAGAAAAAAATATTAAAAGGTTCATCCCTTAACACAGTATGTTTCAAGTTCAACCTTTTGTGCCCCCCGCCCCAACCCTAACATTGCTGTTTGCTTCCCAACTTGACCTGAGAGGTGTCTGGAAATCATGCATGATGTATTCCGTATGATCCATGTGCGATCTTCCTCACTCACACAGCTGTCCGCCCCCCAGCACGCACACGTCTCTGTCATCTCGGCCACACCTCAGAGCTGCTAGCAGTGCCAGTCTGTGTCAATGGTGCCCTCAGGACTCACTGGAGTCTGACCATTTGGTTTCTTTCTGTCAAGCCGGGGGTTAGCGTCCCTCACTCCCCAGCACATTTTCCTTCCTCATCCCGAGACTGACATGCTGTTGTCTGACGAAGGGTCTCCATCTGAGGGGCAGGCCTGGGCGTCTCCTCTGTGGCTATTTCCTCAAGTGTCATCCACTAGTAGTAGCTCAGAGCCAGAGAGACTGGGTTGACAACTCCAATTGTTTGATAATAAGTTTGATTAAATTTGGTAGAAATAATACAATGTGAAATTGTATAGCTTTTCCAAGACCGTAAAACCCAGACTAGTCCACCAGTAACATGTGTCCATTCATTTTTTGGAAATAGGCTACTTGGAAGGCTGTCAGAATGGCTAAGAAAACGAACCTGGTAAACTGTCTAACCTAATCTCTTTTATACCCAGTGGTGCATTTCAGCAACGGTACATTAACACCAATGACCAAACGTAACTTTAAAGCAGGAGGTGATTTGTTAACTGCATTCACCTAATGTCAGCTTACAGTTCTGATTTCACAGGATCACCTATTTACTTATTGTTACTGCCAAGCAAGTAAGGAACGAAGTAACAGTAACCAAACGGATGTGGGTGGGAGAGGCTGTCGGTACATGATGTATAACTGATCCCAGGGCTACATTCATTTCATGTAAGCCTTTAATAGGGCTGTGCAAACTTTATCATATCCATATGTAAAATTGTGTTTTCCTTGCTTCAAACCAGTGAAGTTTGGGTTCTCCTTTGTGCAATTAGTTGCCAAATCAGAGCTTCTTATATATTCTACTGAAATATTTGCATCTTCCATTCAGTCACTACAAAAGACCATAGTTTCAGTTTGCATGACTTTTTTTCCCCTTCAGTGGTTGTGCTGATAAGAATCCAATTCTGGGACAGAATTGTATTTTTAAAGTCATTTTTTTTTAAATGGATATGTACAAATAAAATAAATGGAACACACAAAACTCTTTTTCTATTTATTTGTAACTCACATCATTCTGGAAAGCACTTGAAGCCTTATTCCAAACAGAGAAGCAAACACAGTAATAGTTGAGATTTAGGATATGCTCATATGGTTTTAATTTTGGCCATAGATCAGTTTTGAGCTATTACAGAGAGAATTCTCAGTGTACTCATGATACATGGTAATTTTTGTATTTCCTTTTGCTGTAGCAGTCACTCTTAAACAGAAATGTCAGTGTTTGCTAAAGAAGAAATTAAACTTCTTTGGTTACAATTATTCCTCTATTACCAAAAAGGGGCATGTTCCTACAACTCACACAGTTGTCAAATCCTTCGTTACTACCCCTAGTTGTCACACTCTCTACAGGGGAGCACAAGGAACATTTCGGCAAATGAGAGAGAGAGGAGGAAAATTATCGGTTATGCCAAAAACACAAAATGACTCTGTAGGGATTAACATTCTTTAAACACATACCACATACTGGCGCAAACAGTCCATGCCTGCCACAGCTCTGACAACTTGAGTCAGGGAAATGAGAGAGCCGGGCAGCAGACAGGGCCAGCCACGACTTTTATGGCTATAGCTGGCTGCCCACTTGGGAAATTAAAAAACAAACAAACAAAAACCCAAACCAGCAGGGGTAAATGGCTTTGCCCCTGAAGAGTATCTAGAGATGCAACAGACTGCTAAAACATGTTACCGATGTGGATGGCTTCACTACTTTAAAGTCACAGGATTTTAAAGCAGGAAAGGATCTCAAAGGGGTCTGTCTAGCAAAATACCTTGTGTGTATTTAAATAAGACATTAGAACACGATCCCACTCCTTTACAGTGGTCTACAGTCAAGGCCTCACCTGCTCCAGCCCCGTACCCTGCATCACCCCATCAACTGTACTCTCCTCTTGCTCACTGGGCTCAAGCTACACTGACCTCTTAATGTTGCCTGAACAAGCCACGCTCTCTGCTCCATCAGGATCCTTGTCGCTAATCCTTCCGCCTCTTCCACCAGGTTATCCACAGGCTAATTCCCTCCCTCTGTCCAGGTCTCCGCTCAAATTTACACTTGTCGTCAAGGCATTCTTTGATTACTCCATCTAAAATGACAGATGGGTCCCCATTCTTCCATCATTTTTCTTCAAGGGTTCTTTTTCTTCACAGCATTATCTCTGCTTAACTTTACTTAACATTTTATTTGTACTTTTTTACTGCTATTCTTCTGCATTAGACTATAAAGCTCTATAGGGGCAAAGCTTTAGATCCTCAGTCCCACACGGAGCAATTATTACTGAAAGCTAACATTTAAATCCTCTGAACCTTAGTGATTTCACCTATATAGTAGAGATCATAATAATAAGCACCCTCACTGAGGGGTTGTGAGGATTACACAAGTTACTAATACATCGAAATCAATCACTAGTTCCTAGTGTTCAATATAAGGTGGTTTTTAGTCAACATCATTGAATCCCTCACTTAAAATTGAGACTGGGACCCAGAATTTCCACTCAAGTGCCCTTTCATTCTAAACACATGGCAGAGAATCAAGACATAGGGCCTAACTGGGGACCCAGTTAGGGCATCACCTTCTCAGCCACCCAGGGTTGAACCACATCCTCCAGCTAAGCTAGGATGAAGTTCTTCAGTCTTCTCAGAGCCCTGGAAAGATCCTCTGAGGCAGGCCCTCTAAGGGCCCTACACAGGCACTCACAGACACACTCAGATATAAGTGGTCTTTCCTACCTTCCTAGAGAAAAAATTAACTCATGGAAACACTAATCAGACTACCAATAAATATTTACTGAAAATAGGCCAGATAGGCCATAGGGATATAGACAGACATAGATGGTCTCTGTTCTCATGGAGCTAAATGTGATACCACTCTTGAAAACCCATTTAATCGGCTACATGAAAAGTTAAAAAAAAAAAAAAAAAAGTCACAGGAGGGGGAGTCATATCAACAGAAGTAGATTTTCAAAATTAAGAAATAAAAACACTTTATAACCTAAAAAAGACAATAACCTTCATAATCTTTATGGGGAAAAAAAATAACCTACTTGTTATTTGGAGACTTCCAGTTCTATTCAGTGCACCTAGAACAATGGCTTTCAAATTCTGTTACCCACATTAAGAAATTCAGTTTATATAGCATGCCACAGTTACAACTAAAAAAGGAATTTCACAAAACAGTATATCCTTACTACTTGTGATATACTATTTTCTTTAAAAAAAAAAAAAAAAAAGTTCTTCACATCTCAGTATATAATTGTGTTCCGTAATGTAATTTAAACAAAAGGGGAAAGGGGAGACAACTGGATAAGGCATACTGTTAGGTTAAGTGAGAGGCACCAAACATGCATGGAAACAGATTGTCTCAGACAGGAGACTTTGCCTAAAGCCTCATGATCACGTATTTGCTGTCAAGTTAGAATATGTAAATTCTACATATGTATGGTTTTCTAATTCACCATGGCCGACGATTTCAGTGCTTTCCCCCCATCCACAGACCTCCTTCTCTATTCCGTGCCACGAACCTGGACCTGTGCTCAGGTCTGTAACTCTAGGAACCACCCCGCACCAGAAAAAAAGACTGAAAAGCAACCCCTGCACATTTCCACCTGTGACACCTTAGTGACACCTGACACAGAAGGAATATTCTTGCTCCAGAAACTAGGTGGTGACTCTGGAGCAATCCATCTAAGTTAAATTTTATGAACTATATGATCGTGGGCAAGTTATTTAACCTCTCTGGCTAGATCTCCTCATATGAAAACAGGATAATCAACACACCTTTCTCCTAAGGTAGTGAGAATTAAATTTGCCTCCATATGCTTGCTTGGCACATAGTAAGCACTGAATTATTACTGCTATTACTATTAGTGCACACCACACCAATCAAAACCTCCTCTGCCTAAACGTTAGAGCAGTGGTTTTGGTGTTCTTCAAAATTACTTCAGTTCTTAGCAAATAACTTGAACATACCTCAGGAAATAAATCTGACCTCCTGAATATCACTTACTATGTTATCTCTTAAAGCCAATACTTCCTTATAGGAGATGGAAGGACTACTTGAAAAGACAGCCTTGCCCACTCCTGCAGTCAGCAAATTAAAAGGACACGTTACTACTACTACACCCTTTACAGCATTCTGAAGCCAGGAGGACTATATGCTTGGAGCTGGAAAATGCAAAATAAACATATCTTTACTCAAGCAGAAAATAATCCCCTTTGCCATTCAAAGTTCTCAAATCTTGAAAAAAATAAATCCACATTTAAGTGGATTTATTTAGTGTATTGTTTACATCAGAATTGTATTAGACACAGCCCTCTTCCAAAGCATACTTTATACTTTATGGGACTTTTTGAATGGATCTGAATGGTTCTCCAAAACCAATTGTTACTATTTCTATAAAACACGGAAGTTACCATCAAGTGCTGCTGTCTTGCTACAAGTTGAAGGTAGAACTCCTGGCATATTCACTTAACATTTAGTATCAAAATGCCCAAATGTTAATGATTCCCTCTTCTCCCAACTAATAATTCCAGGGTGAGAGGTTAAGCTAAGTCTATTTCTGTTCTTTCTGATGCAGTATATTTTATCAACATCATCAATAATCTTTAATCAATATATTACTTTAAAGCCCTCATATTTCAGGGCACCTAGGTAGCTCAGTCGTTAAGCGTCTGCCTCTGGCTCAGGTTATGATCCCAGGGTCTTGGGA